CCCGCTTACTTCGCGGCGCCTAATAAGAGCTTCTCGTTGGCCAATGCAAAAGAGCGTTTAAAAACAAAATTAGTCTGTAAAGTCAAAATTTTTGATTCAAGTTGAAACCACTAAGGTGCAGTATCCTCCTCACACATAGGCCAATAATAGTAACGCTGTGATACCATATGGAATACCTATCCCTTTTGGTGTCATGAGCTTTACCAATGGTCTTATTTCCACCTGTGAGATCTCTGCCAAGCATGCGTAATCTTTTTGTATGATCTTGCAACTACAACATTGGTGCGATGCGTATGCCAATAAAAGTTCTTATAGGGAAACTCAAGAGCACAGAAGTGAGTTTTCTGTTATAGGAGGGCCAAGAATCCTCGCTGTCCTATAGGATGAAAAGTTTTCCGGTACATTGCTAAATGAGTCGTGTGATCTCTTAAGTATCTTTCAAATGGAGCAATTGATATACCTACCGTGATCTTTCCTTGTTAATTCATCACTTTTACAAACTTAACCCCATCCTTCATTTAGACATCTGAAAACTAAATTCGTATAACTTAAACATAGGGCCAAAGCAGACCAACCACGGGGTTTCTATACATTTCGGCTGCAGCGCCATCCATTGGGTTCATTTTCTGCAAAACCATTGCTTACAGCGGCACTAATCGGGTAAATTTTTATCAAAAGAATTTTCCATCATACAGGTACATAGCTCACATTTAAAATTTGAACGAAATCGGTTAATAAATACGATTTTTATAAATAACTCTACTCCAGCACCACCTAGCGAGTTTTCTAGTAGCATGTAATATATGTATGTCAGATAACCTCCGACAATCTGACGGAACTCTATTCAGTGGTTTTTGAGTTTATTCCGAACAACCAAAACGGCTATCATTTTATGCAAATAGGTATGTAGATATAGGGCAGTCTATAACGAAACCCGAAAAATCAAAGCTCCATTCTTTGTGCAAAATTTAAAAAAATTCTTCAAAATTTTCACATAAATTTTACCTTTTACTAAAAACTAAAAGCAAAGTTACAATATTTCAATGGGATTTAGAAATCTAGGAGAAAATTGTTCCCAATCGAGTGATACTTGCGCGTTTACGTAAATGTATATCGATGCAGTCTTTCCAATAATTACCACTTTTCGCCATAAGTACGGTATTGATAAAAACTGTAGCTGTGTAGAATTTCAGGACGTTAGCGTAAGTAGTTCCAGAGATAAGCTATATGGGAAGTTCAGTTTGTATGGAAGGAAGGAGCCACGCCCCCTTTCCCAATGCATTTGCAATATATACATCAGTGCTATGTTTCAGTTCCCAGCGTAATTGGTTTTAGAGATATATTGGTTTTTTACAGCCCGATTCTGTGTACTTGATAAATTTAAAATCTTTATAATTTGTCAATTTTTTATTATTTATCAAGAATTGGTATTCTAGCACAGAAATCAAAAGCCCTTTTCTTGATAAATTATCAAGATTGAAAATGCTATTGACAAAATGAAATTTCATGTGAAATGTATAAATTTTGTATCTTAATAAATTTGTTTCTAACAATTAAATACTCCATGTGCCGGCATTTGAACCTGCGGCACACGGAATTATAGTCGACATCTCTACCTACCCGGATACGGCAGTCAAAAGCTTTTTCGCTTTTAAATTCATATTTTTCATATGTGACAATGAAATCAGTTGCACTCATGTGGAAATCAGTTCCACTAATGTGGAAATCGTAGAGCTTTTGTTTTATAAATATTGACACAGAATGCTAGCGAAGCTTTTGCTTGATACAAATCTTGATGAAATTTCTTTACAAAATATGTATCAAGAAAACATAGAATTAGAATATCCCGAGCTACATACCGAGTAAGTTTTTGGTCAGAATATTTATTTTCAAGATGTTGCCAAATATGAACCAAGTCGGTGCAGCCGTTTAGTAGTTTAGTGAAATACATTGTAAAGAGAACTGTATGAAATTGTAAAACGTGACGTCTCAGATTTCTTAATTTTTTGGCAGCAACAACGAAAAGTTTTAATTTTTTTAGCGAAAAACCTTCCACACAGAAAAAAAAAAAGTTTGTGGTTATATCAAGGCGAAATTTTGAGAACGGTCCGTTGCTAACTCTAAATATAAACTACGACACACTGGAAAAAGTTAATACGTTCAAATACCTAGGAATAATGATCGACGATAAACTAAAACAAAAAAAAAAAAAATGGATTCTATATTTTCAATTAGAGCTCTAGCAATATGTACATCGGTGAAACTGCATTTAACTCCATACATTAGCTTTTGCGTTATGCGCTTACAAACATACAGACAAACATACCAAAATTTTATATTTGGCTTCTGTTGATCTAATAAACCCCCTATTAATTTTTCTTTAACATATTCTCAAATACTCTCGTTTGATTCCCATATGGCAACACTTAGTTTATATTATAAATTTAACTGAATTAAAGTTTTCAAACCCGCTTCAAGAATATTTCATTTATTTTACAAATTTTAATGAATACAATTTTTCAATCAGTTGGCAAATCCCCTAAAAATATTTTAGCATTAAAATTTCCTAGCCTCTTTAGTTTGATGCCAATATTGCAATATTTAATTTATGCTATCAATTAAATTAAATTAAAGTTTTCAAATTGGTGGCAACCTTCCCCAAAAATATTTTCAGCTGTAAGCCTTTGTAAATTTCTTTCTTTTGACAGCCATATTGCAGTATTCACTTTACCGTATCAATTGACCTAAACTGAAATTTTAAACACAGGTGGCAACTCTCTAATTTCTTCTTCTATATTGGAAGCTAGATCTCTAGCGATACATCGGTGAAAAGTCTGCATTCAATTCCATGTTTTCGACTGATGTGCGTACAAATATACAGACAGACAGAGATTCAAAAATTGTTTATTTGGCTTCTGTACATTTGTATTTTGGTTCTGTTTGGTACAGACATCGACCTGTTACAATTTTATTATATGTATAGATATCTAGATGTAGATTTAGATTTCATTTGTTTTATCATTTAATTCAATAAAATTTTTCAAACAGGTGGCAGCCCTCCCTAAAAATATTTTCGGCAATATAATTTCCTAAACCCTTTCAGTTTGATACCCATATTGCAATATTCAATTTATCTTATAAATTAAATTAAATGTAAATTTTCAAACAGGTGGCAACTCTAAAAAAATATTTCTGGCTGTAAGCCTTCTTCATTCTCTTTCTTTTGACGCCCATATTGCAATATTAATTTTTTCTTATCAATTTACTTAAACTCCAACTTTCAAACAGGTGGCAACTCTCTAATTTTTTTCTTCCTAAATTTTAATTTAGACCTCTAGCAATACATCGGTGAAAACTGCATTCAAATCCAAGCATTCGTTTTCGAGTGATGCGCGAACAAACATACAGACAGACAGACAGACAAAAATTCTAAAAATGGTGGATTTGGGTACTGGTGCTCTAAAAAAGACCCTCCACATTAATTTTTCTTTAATATCTATAATGTACAGACATCGACCTGTTACAATTTTATTATATGTATAGATTTCTTTTGAGAAAAATCATTAGGGGCTTCAGTGTTTAAAAATGTATATTTCGCTACTTTAGAGTGAAAAGTTGATTAGTCCAGTTTTTTTTCAAAATTTACGGAAGACAAGCGCTTTTCAACATCTGGCTGAGCAGTTCGCTTTTCACCTGGGACATATGTACCAAGGACAGCGATGTCAGACACCCGACTCGCATTCCAGATGCTCATCTAAGCTAAGCCGATAAGCGAACACACACTGGGCAAAAAGCCGATGAATTCAAGGTGACTAGGTTCTTCTGGCCACAGGTAGAAAGGAGGAAGTCTTAGAGTCAAACAAACCACAACTCTCGGAGCTGATGAGAGTCTTAGCTGGTCAATGTGTAAATTAAAATGAATGCAATAAGGCTCAACATTACTTTAAGAAATTGCTATGGAAGAAAATACCCGTAAGATAGAAATAGTTGTACATCAACTTATAGTCTAGTTAGTCTAGACTTAACTTAACTTACGCAGGAAATCGTCAATGATTATTTAACGCGCCAAATTAGCCAGAAGCGAAAATATTTTGTTTTTGTGTTTTCTTTTTTTAGTTGATGGTCACTTTGCCGCCTATAAAAAAGTTCTGAACAAAAATATATTGCGTTGGCCAATATATTATAGGTTACGTTACGTAAATTAAGCTTTTAGTTTTTGCTATTTTCTTATGTATGTTACAATGTTTTTTGCTTCTCCTGTAAAATAAAAATTTGTAGGTTAGGGCCTTTGTGAATTAAGATAACGATATGGACCGAATAGGTCCATAAATAAGGCTTTTTTTCAGATATCTCGACACCCGCGCCATCTTTCGCATTGCATTGTCAAAGGGTTCTGAGCTAAGATTAAAGTTTCAAGTCTCTTGCTCATCGGGAAGTTGGTTAAAAATTGATTGCAATATTTGATTACACACAGGTGAAACATAATAAAATCTTGTAAAAATAGTTAGAAAAAGTACTTTAAAAATTTAGGCTGTTTTCAACTTGAACAAAAATAAATAATAATTAAAAAATAAATAATGATCAAAAAGTCATTGTTTTCTAGTTATATAGTTGCCAGCGCAACATAAACTGCTGCTGGCGGCAGTTTCTGCATACTTAACTAAAATAAAAATAACAAAATTTTTTTCGTATCACGCCGTTCTTCCAGCAAACCGCTGCCGGCAATACGCCTTGTCATCAGCTGTTATTATAGAATAATATTTAACAACCCGTTACTTTTTGTTAATTCTTAAATAATAAAAAAATCTATTTTATTTTATTCCAGCAACATGCAGTCAATTATACTTTGTGTAATCCTACTTGTGTCTTCATGCAGCGCACAATTTTATTTCCACCAATCAGCGCCCTTGCCATATCAATCACTTCATTATCCGCGATATACCTCACCACCACCCGATTTTAAACCCATCTCAGAGCCAAGCCAGGAGAGCTACGCCCATCCGGCGGTTATAGCCAATGCGGAGCGAGAAGCCCAACTGCCACCGGAACTATCGAAAAGTCGGCGTTTCTACAGCAATCCTCATATAGCAGCTGCTCTCGCCAAAGAGTCACAGCTGACACCCAAGGAAATGCCGGTGCTCAATCGTGAAGCAGAGAAAATTGATCGCAATGAAATTTATAAAATTTTCCATAATGCTGGTTGGGCGAGAAGAAGATAAAGCGAGATGAGATTAATATAGATAGCTTTTCGTGGTTCTAAAAAGAGTCGTGCTTAGAGCAAGTTGATTTTGTTGTTGTTCCCGTCTTGCCAATCAACCTAAAATACATTTAAGTCGTTAAAACTTATTTATTTTTTTTTGTTTAAGATTAAGTTAATATTGTAAATAAAAAGTGTTTATAAGTAGTGTGTTTTTTTCGTGCCATGGAATTCAAGGCTAGGATCCTTCAAGCCTGCTCAGAGCACATTATAGGACTCAATGTCATCATTTTTGCGCATCGCAAATACAATAAATAACTGTTGTGCTAAAAATATAACGGGATCAGAATCAACGAGCTTAAATTGCGAGTAAGCACAACCTTTTCAGAGTCGCTTTGTTAAAACCTCCTTTGAATTTGAATGAGTCGGAGATGTCCATCCCAATTTGCCTTTTTAATATTGACTAAAAGAGTACTGAAGAAGATTGAATGACCAACTGTACGAGTTTTTAACAACATGGACATAGAAATACCACGAATGTGCTGGCTTGCGGTGAAAAGATCCTTCGACTCGGCACCCATTGGTGGACAACGAAAGAAAGGGCGCCCGACAAACCCAATGGAAGGACCAAGTGTAGAAAGACCTGTCTGCAATTGACGCAAAACGCGAAAGAGATGACTATTCGCGAAGGTTTTTGATCTCGGCTCACACTCACAAATGTTTTTAAAGGCAAATAAAAGTAATAAGAAAAAATCAAAGTTAAAGGAACAATGCTAACTGTAATAAATTACTTTAGTTTTGTCAAAAACCGTCCCCAGTTGCATGTTACAAAGTTGATCTTTCACTATACCCTTTTTCTTTACAAGACCCACTTTGAAGACGCAATGGCTTATTGCTAATTTACCATAGGCTATTGCTAATGGGTCGAACTCAATGTCATTGGAACTTCCTCTAGGTTAGCGTCTTTTTTATAAAAACTTTCTATAACTGGGTCGTCTGCTTTCCCTTACCTACTCTACACTAGAGACCTACCGAACTCCAGACTGCTGAAACTTCTTCTTGAAAGGCGATGCGCTGATGCCAAGAGCGAATTCTTTCATTTTGGGATCATCTCTGTAAGTCTAGAATATGCTGTTTGTCAAATTAGCACCTCTACGCCATCCATGGATTTCTCGTCTAGCTCCTGGAAACTTTTCGAAGCTCCGGACTTTGTGGAGTTATATACATATGTAGTGCGAATTTCCTAGCATGCTGGTGATGCTATACTACTAAGACTGTGAGCATAGTTCAATTCTAAATGCATTACCGCCTGAAATTAAAGCGCTGCCTACTGACCCCATATATCCTGCCGACGACCTGGTTCCACCACAAAACCCACACGAAATTCCCAAAGACGCAAAGGCAGTAAGGTACATCCCAGATGAATATCTTCTCAGTTAGCTAAGCGGCTACTCAGGTACTCTCTTCCACCTGTGTTAGATCTCAACTAGTGGTTGACTGTAGTAGACTGCTGGCTTCAATTTGTAATTAATACGAATTTACCCTAATATGGGTCCCGGGACATGGGGAAATTAACGAAAACGAGATAGCAGACAGCTCTACCTCGCTTAGGCTCTGCACTGAATGTGGCCCATGCGGTGGACATGGTTTGCCTTGCTCAGGGAGAGCAAGGACAGAAAGGCCGAAATTTATCCCTCGAAGGCTAAACAGAGGTGCAATCGTATAGCATTGTGTAACTTACAGCAGTCTGCACCGGGCACGGGCATGTTTGGGTACGTGGTGAAAGGATTGGCTTACCTTTCAATAAGTTCTATCGCATCTGCATGGATCCGGGCTGAAAGTAGACAGTCGAACACTTTCTGTGCGTGTTAACAGCCCTCGCAAGGATGATGCTAAGATGCGCCAAATTGCTGTAGGTTGCAGGAGTTGTGGAATCAAAATGGACCAACTAACTATTTAAGACCATACCGAGCCCTAACCGCCAAAATAACGTAAGCGACATTTTTTTTTCAAAATTTTCTTTTTGATGCAGAAATATTCCTAGAGCCTCTACAGCAATTTGGCGGCTATTAGCATCATCCTTGCGAGGGCTGGTAACATGCACAGAAAGTGTTCGACTGTCTACTTTCAGCCCGGTTAGGGCTCGGTACGTCCTAAAGTATGAGTAGCAGCTTTACTTAAACTTAAATACATTTGGCAATACATGGTGGAATAATACAAGGTGTTGGATATTGACAGCGTTCTCGCTCTAATCCGCCATCTTGACTCCCTTAGCAAAATCGATGTTTCCCTCTTGAAAAAACTACATTTTACCGCCTTAAAAAAAGTACTAAACTACCTCATTCCCTATTCTAAAACTGATTTGCAATCACTGACCAATTATTTGACATTTACTTTATTCTTATTCGTTGACAACGGAAAATTAAATAACAAATTTTAAACTTTAATTCGACAAAAAACGTGGGCTTTGTGTATTCTCCAAAGGATTTACAGCGAGATGGGCGCTGTTTTCAGGCACACACTGAGGGAAGCTTGAATTTCTGCTGCGTGAGGCAAAATACGCCTATAATAATTTACAATACCGAGGAAGCGGAATCTGATTTTTTTAACCGGTGACCACCCTGGGAGGTTGCTAAAAATAAAGCGTTTTCAAAACCATTTCCGATGCCCATATTGCAGCAATGCATTTAATCTTCCAACCTAGATACGAACACGTAAGTATGCGTCCTCCTACAATCGGACCACGGCAACATGGAGTCTATCGATGTCAAACGTTAAGTTTCTTGTTTCTTGTTTGTTTGTAACTATTTATATGCAAAATTTTATATGAAAAATAGTACCAAATTTCGTACTACTTCGCAAAGCGGGCTTTTTTTCTTCCCGTTTCTCTCGTGCTTCCATATTACAACCTTTTGTAAGGGAGCCGTCGACATGAGCTGTCACTACGTACAACACCTTGTATAATTCCACCATGTGGCAATATTCGTTTGATCAAGCATTTTATGCATGGTGGAATTATACAAGGTGTTGTACGTAGTGACAGCTCATGTCG